AGTACAGGTCCATTTACCATTTTTAGTAAAGTGCAATGAAGCTACTGAGTTTCCAAGTCTAAGAAGAAAAAGCAATCTGTGCTTCTATGTGCGCCAGCAGGTTTGACAACACCCAGTTCCTGTCATAGCCATGGTGTGCTGCAAATCCTGCCCCAGACTGTGCTCACGCTCGTCGGCCTACACTTTGGCCCTCGGCCTGGGCTTCGTCACCTTGGGGACCAGTCGTATCCTGCTGCTCAAGTTCTCTGCCAATGCTGGTGACTGACAATGAGACAAATGTTACTTTTTGTTTCCAACAGAGATAATATGATGTGTCAAGTCAGCACACATTTGAAAGGCATGTCATAAAGTGTTTTTTATGTCTTTCTGTGTATTCCAGTGTTTGCATCTTTGTGTGTGTGTGTGGTCAATTTGCAGAGAACAAGTATGACTTCCTCCCTGCGTCCGTCAATCTACTCGCTGAGGCGCTTAAACTGCTCTTCTGTCTGGTTATGTCAGTCAGGGTCATAGTCCGAGGTAATCATTGAACTCACAGCTGTGTGTCTGTGTGGTGGAAAACGTGTTCTTAATGCCATCTTTTTCTCTCTTTCTTCAGAGGGAAGATCATGCAGAGAGCTGGGCTGCTCCTCCAGCTCTTCCTTCCTCAGCTCCCTGAAGTGGGCTGTCCCCGCTTTCCTCTACTTTCTGGACAACCTCATCATCTTCTATGTGATGACTTACCTGCAGCCTGTTAGTTAATATTTACCTGAAGTAAACATTTAGTGTACTAGCTTTACACTAGGGCCACTGGATGATCCCCCTTAACATACAAACCACACCCCTTTTGTAGCTTTTAAGACCCTGTTGGGGAATTCAGTGGATATCTAAATGTAGATTCTACCGAACTCATATCAATGCCAGCTTTTACCAAATGTTCTGTCCTGCTATGACTGCTGTTTTATCTCTTAAGCAGCTGTTCCTCCTCTTATCCACAGGCCATGGCGGTGTTGTTTTCCAACTTTGTCATCTTGACCACAGCTGTACTCTTCAGAATTGTTCTGAAGTAAGTGGCTCGATTGACAACTCTGTAATGTTCTGTTCCTCAGTATAATAGTTTGTATGTTTTTGGGAGTGTGACTGTAGATAAGAGTTGTTGAATTTTTCTCACTGTTTTTGTGTTGCTTTTCCAGTCCCTTTTACCTTTTTGTGTGGCTTGTTTAGAAGTAATGTATTCCATTTTAACAAAATAATAATACTTAATGTACTGCACTTGTTCCAATGCTATAGTAAAGCAAAATCACAATTAAGTTGAGTGAAATACTAATTTCATACACACATACAGCTCATGTCAACTGCAAATAAAAATCCAATTTTGGTTTCTCACAGGAGGCGCCTTTCCTGGGTTCAGTGGGCAGCATTAGTTGTCCTCTTCCTGTCCATTGTTTCCTTGACAACAGGATCGGGGGGCAACCAAAATGCCATAGCTGTGCCAGGACTGCACTCAAACCACTTCTCCGCCCCCTCCAACTCCTGCCTGCTCTACACACAGCTCCTGGAGCAGATGAGGAACAGCAGGTAGCATGATAATTGCACAAATAAATTAAAGCTGCAGTTGGTAACTTTTAGAAAATTTACTTTTTGTCATATTTGCTTAAACTTTCACTGTATCCTGACAGTAGTACATGAGACAGATAATCTGTGAAAAAAAACAATTTAAGGGCTGGTTTAGAGCCGGTGCCTAAGAACTGGTTCTAGCACAGCACCAACATTTTTAATGGTTTAGAACCAAGAACTGCTTGCTTGGGTAATGTTGGCTGACCAACAACTACCTAGTTGGCCAGCTAGCGTAACCATAACAATAGGTATCATGGGAGGCTTATACAGTGACGTGGCTCTATGGTGACTCTCTGGAAAACCAAACAGGTTCTTAGAAGGTTCTCAAGTTGAACCGGCACTAGGACCAGCCTAGAACTAGCACTAAGTTCAAGTTGGTGGAAAAGGTCTTCTTGTGCCCCTAATGGTATTTGCACGAATCCACCACAACTGAATGAAAACAACCAGTCAGAGCTGAGAAAGATAGTTGATTGTTAAGTCTCATTCAGAGGTCGTCGAATACTGACACTTTGGCTCTGTTGATGTGTAAAATCAATAGAGATCCCCTTCTGCAGTTTAAAGGAAATATAGTCCTATAGACCCCTTGTACAAAATAATTGTCCATGCTGCAGTGAGACTTTTACAGCATGTTTTCTGGTTCATTTTGGAACAAATTCCAGTCCGTTATGTTGTTATTCTTATCTTTTCAACACAGTGCCAGTGAATCATGGGCGTCGTCCCTGCCCGGGCAGGCCTGGAGGGACAGGGTAGTGGGGAAGCTTCAATCTCTAGGTGTGGGTCACATCCTGCTCCTGCTCCAGTGCTTCATCTCCGCCATGGCCAACATCTACAATGAGAAGATCCTCAAAGAGGGAGACCAGCTCACAGAGAGCATCTTCATCCAGAACAGTAAATTGTGAGAGCGACTTATGGGGAAAATAAGAAGACAGAAGACATGTGACTAGATTAAATTCTTCCACTCTAATCTTTGTCTTTTGCTGCGTGATTTTGCAGGTATGCATTTGGTGTGGTGTTTAATGGTCTGACCCTCGGGCTCGGCAGTGAGGCACGAGGCCTCACCATGCACTGTGGCCTCCTCCATGGACATAACATGTATTCCCTGGGTCTGGTGCTGGTCACTGGTGAGTTAACAGTGGACAAGTAACGGCCTCACATACCTAAATGACAAAATAGCTGATTTGTCGGTGTCGTCTAAAACAACCGATATCAGTGTTTTGTGATCGAATGCCCCTGTGATTAGTTTAGGAAACTAAAACTACTCCATTAAAGGACTAGTACAAAACTTTAGCAAATATACTTATTCGCTTTCTTGCGGAGAGATAGACAACAGGGTTGACACCACTCCCCTGTCTGTTAAATATGAAACTATTAGCTGTTTCCCCTTGCTTCCGTCCTTTCCTCTTCTTTGCTGTTGGTCGAGAATGAAGGAAGAGATGGAGCGGCGTTAAAAAAAACAAAGCTGTGAATCAGAGGAATAAATTGTTATCGGTTACGTTCTAAAGCACAAATAAACACACCTCTGCAGAAATCTGTGGGAAGGATTTTGTGTGAACGCAACCAAAGGGCTTCATCCTGTCTGCTGTTTCCCTGCTCTGCTCTGCCTACCTGTGTGCATGAGTAGCTCAGCCCATAGTATAAAGCTTCAAACTATTCACTACAGCCCTACATATTTACCAAAATGTCTAACTACTCCTTTAAGGTTGGGGTAAGATAATGATCATGGTTAGGGATATGGAAGGATTGTCTTCATTGTCATAAGAAACCAACTTTCTTGGAATTTAAGCCCCTGTTGCTTAGAAAGATGTTGCTGGTGTGAAATGAAGCCACACTTCATACTGTTTCTCTCCGCCATGACTCCTTCTTGTTGCAGCAGCATAAATGCCTGAGTTTGACATCAGCTGTCAAAAAAAACAAACGGTAGAGCTGGCCGATAAATTGATTAAATCGATTAATTTCTTGAATTTCCCTCAGGATTAATAAAGTATCTATCTAGCAGGCATTTTTAGTTGTTGTGCATATGGTATGGACAGTGACTGGATAACTGTCTCCAAATAAAAGCGCTGAGTTAATATAATCAATAAACACCATTAAGACTTGCCAACTTGCCTGTGAGTATATAAACAAGATAAAAAATTGAAAGTGTGCAATTGAAAACCTCTCGTCTGTCTTCCAGCTGCCCTGGGTTTATCTGTGGCCTTCATCTTGAAATTCAGAGACAACATGTTCCACGTGCTGACGGGCCAGATCACCACCGTTCTGGTCACTGCCCTCTCCCTCTTCCTCTTCGACTTCCGCCCTTCACTGGACTTCTTCCTCCAGGCTCCCATGGTCCTGCTGGCCATCTTTATCTACAACGCCAGCCGGCCCAAGGACCTGGAATACAGCCTGCAGCAGGAAAAACTGCGGGTCATCAACGGAGAGGTGTTCGAAAGGTCCAGAGGGGTAGGGAGCAAACCGCAAAACCCACAAACCTACACTGGTCATGCACAGGAGCCCACACTCACCGAACCCCCATGTTAAGCCCCGTCCTCTCCTCCCATACACATACCAAGATCTCTGTAGGAAACTTGGCTCTAATTTGTCTGTAATGTGATTTCTTCAGCGCTGGAGGAAACAACATTCAGACTTGGGCTGGTGCCATACCTCACTTAATTTCATTAGGTCAGTGTAGTCTATTGGATATTGAAAGAGGAAGCTATTAAACAGGAGATCTCTGTGAGGGCCTTATGAAGACACTGTCCTGGAGTCAGCAGGACTTTGAGGTTGTTTACAGGACCGTGATCCATGAGGTTTAGGCCTTAAAACATCTAAATTTGATTTTGACAGGTCTTTAAAATGATGGTTATGTTACATTACTTTTATAGAACTGCATTACTTCAGTCTCGCTTTTGAATGTGCTTTGGGGGAAAATTTGTATTGATCAAGTTCAAGTTTTAAAAGTCACATTTAATCAGTTTTAGTTTTCCAGTCATAGAAATACCTGGAAATTGATGTCAATAGTATGGATGTGAAATTGGTTTTAAATTGCATTCATAATGGTCTGCAGAAACCCTGAGAAAGCTGCCGTTTGGTGATGATACTAAGTTGTTAATGTTAGAAATACCTTTGTGCGTGTAGGTTTGTCCACTGGATTCCACCACTTGTGCACGCATTCTAATTTGCTTTATGTTTTCTGTCGTAGGACGGTGAGGAGCTGGAGCTCCTGACAAAGCCCAACACAGACAGTGAATCTGAGGAAGAGTCCTTGTAGTACTGACTTACGGCTCAAACCGGGGCAGAAGATTTTCCTTCTTCACTGCCGCTGCACTATAGACTTGTAGCCCTGGACGTGGCAGCAGGTCAAGCATTTACTTGAATGAATCAGCGGGTGAACAGTGAATGATAGTGTTGAATGGACAGTGTGATGAACTCTGTTGAACATTTGTGATAACTAAGGCTATTGTGTATATTTTGAAATGTGCCTGTCTGTTTAAGAGTGCTGTCAATTAGTCTAGTGGAAGAACCCCCAGTAATACATCAGTATATGTGCTGAGAAATAACTGTCACAACCCCTGATGTGCGATCAGTAAGGGTCTGTTATGGATACTTTATTTCCTCTAAAAACTCTGACTGTGTGCCACTATTTGACTGCTTGCAGGTGATTGATAAGCTTACAGATCACATTTCATACAGTCTTATGATTGTACGGCTTTACACTATTTTTAACTGTTGTTGGCGCTGTGTAAAATAAGTGTTTATTCAATATGGTCAATATTTAAACAATGTGGAAAACTTGCGCAATACAGTCCAGTACAAAGTCACAAACTACGGCTTCAAAAATGAACATATCCCTTTTTTGAAGCTGCAGTAGGTAACTTTTATAAAAATATTCTTCTTGTCATATTCACTGAAAACCTATATCCTGACAGTAGTACATGAGACAGATAATCTGTGTAACAATCAGGTTCCTCTGGCTCCTCCTACTGCTCCTAATGGGATTTGTAAAAATAAATCCACAACCAACCAATCAGAGTCAAGAAAGAAAGACGCTTTGGGTTGGTGGTTTGAAAATAGTTGTTTGATTGATTGACTCAACTATCTTTCGCCGCTCTGATTGGTTGTTTTTGTTCAGGCCCAGTGGATTCTTACAAATCCCATTAGGAACACTAGGAGGAGCCAGAGAAAGCTGATTTTTTCACA